AAGCACCCTCTACAAATTTATCTAAGAAAAAGGCTAAAGAAGCACCCTCTACAAATTTATCTAAGAGAAAGGCTAAAGAAGCACCCTCTACAAATTTATCTAAGAGAAAGGCTAAAGAAGCACCCTCTACAAATTTATCTAAGAGAAAGGCTAAAGAAGCACCCTCTACAAATTTATCTAAGAGAAAGGCTAAAGAAGCACCCTCTACAAATTTATCTAAGAAAAAGGCTAAAGAAGCACCCTCAACAAATTTATCTAAGAGAAAGGCTAAAGAAGCACCATTACTTCCTAAAAATAAAAATAAGAAAAAAGGTCTAAAAGTAAAAGAAGAAAGATCATCCATACAGAATTCAAAACCTAAAAATCATCCTAAAGCTGAAATTCAAAAGGAAACAAAAATTTCAAATAAAAATATAGGAGCTACTAAAAAAATTCACAAGCATAATTTTGGGAAGCATACTAAAAAGCGGAAATGGAATTCCAGTACCAAGAAATCTAGGAAGAAAGCATCCATTCTTATGTCAACCGATTTTCACGAAGAGAATATTCCTGAGGTAAAGCTATTTTTACTAAGTAAAGTTCACCTATCGTCTAATGAAAAAGAGAAGATTCAAACCAGTCAAGAATTAGCAAGAGGAAATCTCAATGAAAAACTTAGTCCTGAATTTAAAGATCCATACGAGGTCAAGAAAATATCTGGCAAAAACGTTTTATTAAAAATCCGTAACAAGGAAGTTACTTATCACAAAACCGTGTTCTGAGTAGTGATCTAAAGAGAGAAATCCAAAATAATAATAATTTAATCCTTCTATTTTTCCTCATACAGCTAATCATCATTTATTTTATTATTAATCCATTTATTCTTTTCTATGTACCCTATATAAAATTTTTATATTTTTCCAGAACTTATGTCAATTTTGTTTCGAATTTCATGTCTCTTGATTTTATTCTTTTATCTTTACTCTTTATGTAACATTGTTCACTAACGAGTATTGCCTAGGAAAAGTTCTACTACTTGCAGCTATAAAGCTTAAAATTATGTTCCTGATAAGAAGTCAATGTGAAGAGATACAACAGTCTACCATACAGAAGACATAGCACCTACTACTACTCAAGGAGTCTCAACCTGGACGGAACCATTCAGAACCCGACATAGGAAACTGTCAAATCCGAACAAGAGGAGAAAACAAATTCTTTTTTCAAATAATTGTTTTCCGTCTTAAGGGGGGAGGTGTTATGATCCCGTACTCAATATTCACATTTTCAACTTTTTATAAACAAAAGACTGGCGACGAACTCAAATTGTTCTTCTTTAGAAGCGAAGCTTCTAAAGACTCCTTCTTTTATTTTATTTGCAAGTGTTTGCTAGTTCCCATTGTTGCTCGTTCGAAACAGTTGACTGACGAAAGACCAAAGTAATATAGGCAAGCTACACCGCTTGGCGTCGGTTCATTTTGATTTTTAGTCTAGCTGTAATAAGTTCTTGTTTATTAATATTAGTTTTGTGATAGTTTTAAGTGCTTGTTCATTACTTACAAAAATAAAGAACGAACCGAATATAACAATATATATATATCAAATTTTTTTTGTCCCATATATATATTATATATTTACAAATCGTGATAATAAAAGTTCATAATATCATTATCATTATTATCATCATATTATTGAATTATATATATATATATATGATTACGTTATTATTATTATTATTATAATAGTGATAATTTATTGATAACGACGTGGCGACGGATGGTAAATTATTATTATTATTATTATTTAATAAGGTATGATAATGATGACTAAATTTTATAAGCGTGTTGTTTCTCTCCCCCCTTCTATTTATTTATTTTTTAATTAAACTATTTTGTTTAATGTATAAATAATTACATTTTTTTTTTGTTTAATTGTTTTTATGAGGAGAGAAATAAAAAAAAAAAAAAAAGAGAGAGAACAACAAAATGCACAAATAAAAAAACGACCCGTCGGCCGGTAAATTATAATAAGGATCGGTGATAATAATAATAATAATAATAATAATAGTAACGAACACGGTTTTGGCCTTATCAAACATGATTAACATAATGATGATGATGATGATTGTTTTTGATTGATAACATACGAACTCAATATGAAATTTAAAAGAAAAAAAAAATGAACGCGTAAAATCGTTTAACCGTCCGTTTCCCCACCTTCCCCCACCTCTAACAATAATAAATTGAGGGGAAGGGTGGGGGAGGAAGGAAGAAAAAAAGGGAGGGGGAGGAAGGAAGGAAAAAAGGGTGGGGTGGGAGGAAGGAAGAAAAGGTGGGGAAGGAGGAGGAGAGAAAGGGAGGGGAAGGAGGAGGAGAGAAAGGGAGGGGAAGGAGGAGGAGAGAATGGGGACGACTATTTTAAGTGAATTTTTTTTTTCTTCCATTCGTAACGTTTGCTTCTCTTCGTTCGTACGTTCTTTCGTTCATTCATTCATTCGAGATAATAATAATAATAATCATAATAATTTGTTATCACTTCGTTTTTTTTTTTTTTATCAAATCTCTTTAAAATAAATAAATTTATTATTATTAATTTATTATTAAATAATTAAATTTAAATTATAAATAATTTAAAAATATTAAAAAGCTATTTATATTATTAATTCAATAGATTATTATTATTATTATTATTATTATTATTACATTTGAATCAAATAAATTTACTATTATTTGTTATTTAATTTTACATAAAATTTATTAATTAATTTATTTTTTTCAGATAATTAATAAAACTTTCCTCCTCCCACGCCGCCTCTCTGGAGCCCCCTTCTGACAAACGAAACGTCATCAAAATACAAGGTAAGTTTTTTTTATTTTTATTTTTTTATTTAACAAGTTAATAATTTATTTATTTTTAAATAATAATAAACTTATTTAATGATAAAATAAATACAATAAATAAATAATAATAATAATAATAATAAGTAGCCAAAAAAAAAAAACCGTTTAATCGCGATGATGATAATAAAATTCCATTAAAAAAATTAATAATAATAATAATAATAAAAATTAACGCGTTCATAAATTATACATACATTTATTTAAATTATAAAATTATTTATTTATTTGATTCAAATTTTACATTAATAATTAATAATAATAATAATGATAATAATAAATATTTAATTTAAATTTTCGATTCGACATATATATATATATTTATATTTTATAAACCTAATAATATCTATAATAACGTGACTAGTTTTTGCTGCATTTCATTATTATTATTATTATTTTGCACTACATTCATGTATTAATTTTTTTACAGTAAAAAAAAAAAAAAAAAAATTATTTGCTCAAAACAAAAAAAAAAAAAAACCGGGAAAATTTAAAAATATAATTAATAATAATAATAATAATAATAATAATAATAATAATAATAATAATAATAATAATAATAATAATAAAGTAATATTTTCACGCGCGCGGTGATAATAATAATGATTTTTTAAGTAGGAAAAAAAAAAAACAAAAAAAAAGTTTCGATGTCGTCGTTTAAATGTAAATAAAAGTACATAAAAAATAAAATAATGATTTAAATTCGGAATGGACACAAACGATCATCACCTAAACCGTCGTTTAACCAACGTAATAAGACTAGCGTGAAATTTTCTCCCGTTTCCCCCCCTCCCCCACCACCCCCTTTCGATTTCATCCTCTTCTTTTTTGTTACCCCTCTCCCCTCTCTCCCACTTCCCCCGTTTTGTTAAAACAAGAAGAAAAAAAAAAAAAAAAAAAAAAACGACGACGACGACGAGGTTGATGGTGATGAATGATCAAATCGATCGATCGATGAATCGATTGATTTCGATTTAAACAAACGATGCCACCGTAATTTTTTTTTTATAAATCGATATATCGAATGTTATCATCATTACGTCATCGATAGGAAAATGCTGTTTCGCGAATTAAATGCTTAATTAATGCTTAAACAATAATTTATTTATTTATTCTCTCAGCGAGGTTTTTCACGCGCACACGCACACTTTTATAAATATACGTTAAATGTAATCGGTAAAAATTATTGCAAGAGGGGGGAGGGAGGCAGGGGGGGGAAGACCAAAAAAAAAAAAATTGAGAATGATTTATTTGTGTGTACAAAAACAACCGAGAACAAAGTATAGTAATAATGCCAAAATAAATTTTACTGTTGAATAATTTTTTTTTTTTTTTTTTTTGTTTTTCCACGTGCATGCGAATTTATACTTATACTTATATATATTTTAATCATTTTTTATATTAATATAATATTTATTATTTATTTTAGAGGAATGAATCACTTTAACAGGTTTCTTGTTTTTTTTTTTTTATATGGAGAATTTTTTTTTTTTTTTTTTTTTTTTTTACAAATTGTTTCTTCTATCAATTTGTTTTCTTCTCCTTGGAAAATTTTTTTCTTTTCTTTTTGATTACTATTATTATTATTATTATTTGAATTACTCTTTAATTAATTAATTGCGGAAGATAAGTGCGGATAATAAAAAATTGTAAATGGAAAATCTCAACACAAACGGGTTTGGAAAATTCATGACCGGTAGTCGGAAAAACTACTTACCATCCATCCATACATCCGGTATTATGCTTCTCCGTTCGATGACGTTTCTACCGGTAATTTTTTCAATATCGTCGGTTCACCCTTGAGAAAAGTTCCCGATCTCGAGAGAGCGGACGGCGTTTCGAAATTTTCCCTTTTCTCGTTGTTTTCCGAATCGACGACAACCACGACCATGTCTTCCCTACCGTGTATCGAATTACCGTTGACGTAATTTTGATTCGTTTTACTCGACGTTTTACTCGTTCCTTTATTCGATTGCGAAACGTTTGATTTTAGTAAATCTCCTCCGGTTTTCAACTTGTTTGAACTCACGGGAATTTTCCCTCCGTTCGCCATTTTTTTATTATTACCGGAACAAATTTTCCCCGGTTCGAAGGACGATTTACTCGTGGAAATTATAAAATTTTGAACGGATTTTGAATTGGATCGTCCTGCGGTTGCTCTGTTTTCCGTGTTGAGCCTTTTCGTGATTGGCGAATTAGACGTGGATTTAGATTTGAAGTGACACGTCGAATTGTTTGATTTTCTCTCTCCCGAAACGTTGTTTTCTTTTCCCTTATTGATTTTAGGATGTGTTTCGTCGGATCTTAATTTAACGTTCGCATCTATTATGTCGCTTTGGAGAGAATCCGTGCACAGGGAATCCGTCGACATGTTTTCCGTTCCCGTCAAACGATCCAACGTTTTAACGGACGGCGTTTCCGATCGAGTGGACGCGTAACTTTTATCTCGTTTACCGTCGCTCAACAAATCGGATTTTGGCAAATAAGAATTACGAGTACCTCGAACGGAAGAAGAAGAAGATGAAGAATTTAATTTTTTCGATTGATTAATTCCAGTTTTATTATTTGCAGGTCTGAGAGCCGGCGAGTAATTTCTCGGTGAATCGGATGAAAAATTTTTAAAGTTTCTCTGCCTGAGCGATAAATTTGCATCGGATTTTTCAGGTATGTTTTTTTGCGGACTTTTTTGTTCGAGATACCTTGATTTTACCTACAAACAAACAAATTCATCGTTTAGTGTCAATACGTTGGTTACGTCACTTTAACGAAAGACTATATACTCACATCAGAATATCGCGGATTCACGGTTTTTCTAGGTTCGGTCATTGTACTCGCCAAAATCTGACTCTTGCTTTGACTTTTTCTTATCCCTTCGACGGGTTCCGATTTTCGTACGCTCGACGTCGACGCCGACGGTCTGAGAGGAATAAAACGCGAGTCTTTTTTCGTCCTTTTAAATAAATACAATTAGTATTAACGCAGGTTTTTCTTCTCGATGGCACCAAATCAAAATGATTTGATTTACCTTTGATCTATTTGAAGGCTCAGGGGTCGATGAACCGCAGGATTTTTATTAGCCTGATGTGAAATGGCCAATTTTATTTGTTTAGAATCTAAAAGTTTTGATCCCGTGCTATGCCTTAAATTTGTCGAATGTATGTTTTTCTAAAAAAAAAAAAAAAAAAGAAAATTTATGAGAACTTTTGACAATTTTTTCCCAATATTTAAACAATTAAAATTTCTTTTTTTTAATTTAAAAAAAAAAAAGGCGAACCTTTAAGTAATTGGATTTACGAAGAGTTAAATTCGAGTCTTCTTCTGGTAATATCAAACACGCCGCTTCTTGTATTTTATTTTTTAATTTGGGTTCCAATTGTCTCCAGGCTTTTAATTTAACCGCTCTCGGAGCTTGTTTAATTAGACTGGCTTCGACAAGTTCGGCGAGGACTTGCAATAATTTCAAAAATGCCTGTTAAAGTTTTGAAAAAAATTAATATTACGTAATATTATTAATAGTATTATCATCATTATTAATTTTTTTTTTTTTTTTTTTTTATGTGAAGGCAAACCTCATTCCAGTTCAATTCGTGCGCTCGTTCAGGTCTCTCGAGTTCAGACATAATCCCGTGAAGTTGAGCGTGACTCCAGCAAGCTTGTTCCGGAGGTAAATATTTAACAGTTTCTACTAAGCTTTCCTCGAAGCAGCCAACATCCCAACCGTTTCCTTTTCCGAGAGCCATAAATCTAAAACGAACATGTCGAGGTGAGATATTCGAAACATATTGTATTGATTTTCTTTCTTTTGCAGCAAAACTTACTTTTCGCTATTTAAAAGAGTTGAAAAATGGTCAGCCATGTATCTGATTGCGGCATCGTGAAGTTTTTTAACCAAACGTGACACGGATTCCGCCCAACGTATGTTGGGCAAAGATCCGCGGACTTTGTCGATTCCGACAATGGTATCTAAAACGTTGTCCACGGTCTGCGACGACAATTCAAACGTATTTAATGTAAGTAAAATGAGTATTTAAAAAAAAATTTAAATTTCAAACGCGATACTTGCCAAGTGCACAACGTGATGCTGATAGCACTTATCGAGCAAATCTTTTGGTAGGCTACCAAAACTTTTTGTAGGCCATAACTTAACATAATATTTTGTAATCCACCTTAAACATTTCCTATATAACTCATCTAAACCGTAATCGGCCGCTATCGGTAGACAATCAATTACTCCAACGCTACATATTGAACAGGGCTGAAATGAGTAACATATGACATTTTTTTGGTTTCCCGTTGATTTTGTTTGCTGAACAAAAGACTTACTGAACATATAATTTTCAATTAATTTATACTTACAACGTGAAAAGAATGACAATATTTTACTTTGAGATTATAACTGATAATTTCTTGAAGACCATCCAAGCACAACATGTCGGCTAAAGTCGCTAATTCCACTACGTTTAATGACTCTGGTATTTGACTTTCACCGCTATAGATGTACCGGAGTGCAAAATGAACAGCCTTATATGAGAACCTATACAAATCAAAATGACAAATAAGTAATTTTATAACAAAAATTTTTCCCCCCGGGCTGCCTTTTAGTTTTTGGATAACTTTGAGTACCTTAAATCCTACCAAACACTGCACTTTTTTATCGGGTTCATAGGACTACCGGGTTCACACTGAAATACTCTTGCAAAGTCTTCGGAATTCGATAAGGTACCGATGACACGAAATTTTCCGGGCGAATGAACGGCCGTTTTTAATTTATTTCTCGTAGCTTCCGGTCTCATGGTTCCGCACCATATTTGAGCAAAGTTAAGAAAGAAAAGTTGCAGGTTTGTGGCGTTTATCCCTTGCAAAACTTCGTCTTGATCCCCGTGGTCGGCCAACCACCTTTCGTAGGCTTTAAACGCTTGTTTTATCCCACCGTTATCTGCAATGTTTTCCCCCTGAGTGTTGACGCCATCAATTTGCATTCCGACTTCGGTTACCGTGTATTTGCCGTACTGATCTATGAGACACTGAGCTCTTTCGTGAAAAGCTTCGATCGCGGGCTCTTTCCACCATTTGTGAAGATTTCCATCTTGATCGAAAAGTCTGCCTTTATCGTCGAAACCGTGCGTTATCTCGTGACCAATGACAACTCCGATTCCGCCGTAATTTAATGATCTGGGAAAATATCTGTGGTAAAAGGGAGGTTGAAGTATTCCGGCCGGAAACATTATTTGATTTTTATTTCTGCTGTAGTAAGCATTCACGACGGCAGGTGGAGTGTTCCACATGGATTTATTTACACGAGTTCCTAAACGGTCTTGTTCGGCTCTCGTTAAATGTTTCAAAATGTTCAAAGTATTTTCGAAATACAGTTCCGGGTCTATTTGCACTTCCGCGTATCTTTCATTCAACGAATCCCTATTTAAAATAAAATCGGGATACCCTATTCGAAGCATCATGGCATCAACCTTTTGTATAGCGAGTCGTTTTGTTTCCTCGTCTATCCAAGACGTGTGATTTAATATTTCCCTGAAAGATTTCATTATGTCATGAGTCATTTCTAATGTGTCGTTTTTGCTTTTTTCGTCAAAATACTGAGCAACAAACATTGCACCTAAACCCATGCCCATGTTTGTATTGACTTGAGCCACGCAATTTTTCCATCGCGGCGGCGCTTCTTCCCTTCCGAAAAGAATGTAATAAAAATTCTGTTTGGCTTCTTGAAAACGATCGTCCAAATTATTCACTCTGTGCCTGATGAATCTCCAAAGGAGGTAATTCGAAATAACTCTGGGTTCGGTTTGATCCAGTAATTTCACAAGATCTTGAACGTACCTTAAAGCAAACATCACTACCGGTTCTTGAGGATCAACGTCGCGGTTGAGAACTATGGTCAAGTATTTGACCCAATTAATTTCGGGAACGGTATCGCATAATTCCGAAACGGTCATGCGTTCGTAAAGCTCCGAAACGTTTCTCCTCTCGTCCGGACTCGACGTTATTTCCGCAAGCGCCGTTTCGAAAATCATTAAATCTTCCGCTTCGGATTTAGCATTTTCGATACTCGAACCCAACAAAGTGGATACTTTAATTAAATAATTTTTATACGCTTCCAAATAAACGTAATTGCACGGTTCTAAAAAATATTCTCTCGTGGGTAAACCCAAACTCGTTTGATCGAACTGAATAACGTATTCATCCGAATTTTTTATATCCGGTCCGACCCATTCGGATATCAATATGTCGTTGTTAAAGAGTCTCAATTTCGCCATCAAAACAATCCAATCGAAATTTTCCGATTTCCAATTCGAATCGATCATGGGCCAACCTCCCAGACTTTCCAAAAGAACCAAAAGAGGTTTTTCCCTCCTCTCCTCCAATATTTTATTATTCATGCAACTCCGATATAAATTTTTAGTTTTCCGAGTGGCTTCGTTCATCGACTCGCTATCTTCTTCCATTAGTAAATCTTGAAGGACTATATCTAGACTTTCTCTTAGCATTTCGAAAGTGTCGTATCCGGCTTTATCTTTCGGTATGGGATTTTTATGACCCCAATTACCGCAAGCGAACTGATAAAAATCTTGACACGGATCCACCGTCGGATCCATGAACGACAACATCATTTTCGTTTGAGCTTTTCTTATAGATTTTAAATTACCCTCTCCTTTCCAGAACGCGTGGAAAACTTCTCTCTCTCCACTGGTGGGACTCCTCATCAAAAGCCACGATTCATAATTCGGCCCGATGTTTTTCTTCTCCTCTCCCTCCTCCTCCTCGTCTTCACTCAATGATAATTTTTCATTGTCGACATTATTAACGGACGTAATTATTTGCCTGTGAAATTTTGATTCGTGAGACATTCTAATTATTTTTTGCTTAGGCGAACCTAATGAATCTTTACGTTTTTTATATTTTTTAATATTTTTATCGTTTTTCCCTACTTTGAACTTTGTATTTATAAAATATTTATCTTTTAATTTAACTTTTCTCTCGTCGGAATCATCCGAATTCGTTCTCGCGTATCCGCCGTGTAAATAATTTCTTAATTGTATTATTTTCATTCTACGGAGTAGTAATTTTCTCTTTTTTCTCCGGTCCAAAAGTTGCGCGTACACTTTCTGATATCCGACCGGGGGTCGGTGAATCAATTTCTTTTTCTGTTTCATCATCTGCGACCAACCGCACGACTCTCTCGAAGGTATAAATTTTGTTTTCATGTCCGATAATAAATCGCTCTTGACATTTGTTTCGAAACACTCCGGATCGAAATTAAACGGTACTAATTTTGAACGATTCGTTTCCATTCGCCTTTTCGTTTCGGTTTCTCTGATTCTCGAAGTAATGCACACGGATAAAAAAATGAATAAAATAAAATTGTGATGCGGCCAACACATAACGGTTATATCAAAATTTTGTAAACATTTTTTTAAAAAAAAAAAATTAAAAATATTATTATTGTTCGACCATATTGAATTTTTGCATGAAGCGTGAAATTTTTTTTTTTTGTTTTTAAAAATATTTCGATTTTGAAAAAAAAAAAAAAGAGTCTTTGGAACGCGTACCGAATAGTGGCGGCACCTAATGATAATGATGAATTTTAATCCCTCCCTCTTCCTTTTTTAATTTTATTATTATTATTATTATTTAAAAGTCCACTCACCCTTGCAGAGGAATGAAATTTCCCGCGCTTTCCACTTTCCCGCCACTTAACAACGCTGCAAAATATTGACACCTCGAACTTAAAATACATTTGTGAGCTTTTATTCTCCGTCCCGCGACATCTATAGTGACATCCGTTCCGATTTCTTCAATAAACATCCTCAATAAATCCCTTCCTAACCTCGTCCTGGCTCCTCCGTAACTAGACACGTCAGTTTCCGAAGTGCTTATGTCTGAAATTTAAATACGAAAATTAGTATTGTTAAAATCCACGCAGGGATAAAAAAAAAAATAACGTAGGATACCTAAAGCCGATGGTTCGATGCTACTTTGAAGACTATTTGTCGTTTCAGAATATTCAAGAGATCGAGTGTAACTTTGTTCTTTCTTCAATTTTTCTTCTTCCTCATCGTTTCGCCTGCACAGACTTGCGAGGGAATGAACGCTCACGTTGGGAAATAACCGAGTAAGGGATCGATTGACGTAGACGTTAGACGACGAATCCGACTTCCTCCCTTCGTTCCCGATGGATCTGCTGAGGTGAGTCGTTTTACCAACGTATTCTTTTTTACTACCATTTTCTTTTATGCTCTGCGACATTCTATCACTCGACGATTGCTTTGTCCTGCTGCTGTAACTCGTGCAATCCATGTCGGAGAGTTTCACAAAGGACTCGTAATTTTTTTCACATGTTTTCGAACCCGTTGATTGTTCGTTCGATGACGTAACAGGTGGCGGTTTTTCTTTGTACTTGCTTTTGTACTCTTCCATCGTGAATGTTGATTCTTTTTTTATGGGTATCTCTTTGATTTCATTTTCGTTTTTAATTTTATAATTAACTTGAATATCTTTGGAATTTAACCAACTCTCTTGTGGCCTGCTGTTTATTACCATTTTCGTTTCGAATTGTGCCGCTTTGGATCTACTTACATTTTCTTCGGCTCCTGAAAATTTAAAAAAAAAAAATTATTATTCGCTAGATTGTGTACCGTAATCCGTGTTAATTCATTCTAAAAAAATATTATTTATTATTACCTCTATGATTAAAATCAAATTCTTTATTTTCGTTACATGGAATATTTGCCGTTGTGTGTTTTTCATTTTTGGAATGAAATTTCAGGCTCGTCAAACTATCGTGCAATCCATTGTCCGTTGAAGGTTTCATGATTTTCTTCGGAGGTGCCTTACGTTTGACATTAGGTGAATCCGATTCGATAAACATGTAGAAAGACTTTTTCATATCATCTTGACTTTCGAGGCTGTCCCCGACCGACGAAGTATTATTACCAGATTCTTCGAACGCTTTTTCAAACGTTTTTTGTTTTTCGATGACGTTCTTTGGTTTTTTCCTCGTAGACGCTTGCGTGTTACCATCTATGTCGATGAACATGGAAAACATGTTGTTCTTTTTTTCAATCCCGTTTTCATTTTGATTGTTTTCGGGACGATTTTTTTCAACGTCGACCATTTTCTGATTGCTAAAGTCTAAAAAGTAACCGAAAGAACTACTTTTTTCCACGGGGAATCCTCCTTTTAATTTTGACGCGGACGCGATTTTTTCCACGGGCGCATCATTTTTCGACTCTTTTAAATCCGTTAAAAATTTAGCCAACGGTTCGTTTTTTTCCGTTTCCGACTCGTTAATTAACGCCGGGGATAATTTATCGTCATTTTCCATTTCTTTATTATTAGCTCCTACGTTTAACATAAAATCAGAACCGTTTTGATTTTTGCTCTTTGACTTTTTACTATCGTCAAATTCAACAATCCAAGCTTCTCCTTGACTTCGACAAAGGTTATCTTTCAGATCTAAAATTTCACATTTCATATTTTTTTCCAAATTGTTTTTCTCATCACGTGATTCGAATTCATCATTATTTGACGAATTGTAATAATTTTCATTGATGACCGAATTGGAGGAATTCGATACGAAATGTTCTTCGCTAGTTTTGTCCTCCGTTTTTTCATTTCCTTTTAAGCCATATGAGATTTTAAAATTTTTATCATCGTTTCCATGTCCGTTTTCTCTCCTTTTGTTTGAACCATTGTATTCTTCTGCCCGTGCAAGAGGTTGGAAAAAATGCGTTTCCACGGAAAAATTCAATTCGGGCGCCATCTGTAATTTATTCGTATTCTCTGTAGTATCGAATTCGTAAGAATTAGCCGATATATTCGATGATGATGGAACGACTTGTTCGCTGTCGTCATCTTCATCGCTTTTTTTTTTATCCGCATTCGGTTTCAGTCTTTCGTCGTTTATTATTTTATTATTGTCTAGTTCGTGCTTTGAAAAATGTGGAATCGAATTTTGAAAAATTAAATTACCCTGCTCCCTTTCTTTTTCTTTCATTATTGAAAAACAATTTTTTTCTTCGAAATTTTCGACGGGCTCGTAAAAATTTGTTACAACCGTTTTTGACGTTTGAGACTCTTCTCCGCCGTTCGTGACCGCGGGTTCATCCACATCCGAATTTTGCACGGATTTATAATTGATCAAAGAAATGGGAGGTGATATTATTTCATCTTCGTCGAGTAAACTCGAAGCATCGATAAAATAATTACTCACTCCCGCCGAAGAAGAATTTTCCCAATTGTGCATTTCCAAATCGGGAAATTTCATTTTTTCACTCGTTTCAAAATCATCCAGCTTTTCGATTTTTAATTTTTTCGGAGTGCAAGGAGGCGTTTTACTCTCTTCCATTTCCCCCCGTTTTAAATTATTATCGACATTTTTTCCGGATAGATCGAATGCCACATCAAAACCAGGATCGAAACCCACATTTTCCGATTCTTTTTCCTCGACGTCATCATTCGCAACAATTTCACTTTGAGTTATTCGATTAACAATATCATTATTTAAATTTTCTATAACGTCCGTACTTGGTTTTTTTTCATCACGGTCACCAAATGTGAAATTTTCCTTTTGATTCGTCACGTCATCAATATTTTTTAATTTTATATTTTTATTAGTGTGCAATAACAATTCGGGTGCGGAAAATATTATCGGCTTTTCTTCGAAACAATCATTTTTCACTTTCACAACATCCTCGTTATTAAAACACTCGGAAATGGTTTTCTTACTCTCTTTATCGTTTTGTTCCGGGCGAACGGGATACTCACGTGATGAACTCGACGATTCTTTTCTTTCCATGTAAAGAAAAATTTCACAATTTCTTATATTTTTTTCCATTTCATCTAATCTATTCATTTCATCAACGTTCAAATTATTTTTCCCCATTTTTGAATCCCTCCCGCCGCCGTACATATTTTTACGAAATGGTTCGAGAGAGCAATCATCATCATCATCATTATTATTATAGAGAGTCATTTCTTTGTCGTTTCCATCCCAAGTATCATCTTCGGACGTTAGCGATGATCTATTCGATTCTTGTTTTTTACATAAATCATTATCATTATCATCATTAGGAATTATTATGTCATCATCGTTTAAAGTTGACGTCGTTAAATCGACGCCCGAAGTTTCCGACGTCGTATTTTCTCTCGGACTTATTTCCGGGTGACATATTGAACTCGTGTCCAAACCCGAATCGATACCTGTTACGCTAACATCCATATCCGAATGAAAATCTAAATTTTCTCTCTCAACGTTTCCTTTTGTCGAATTATTATTCGCTTTGTCTTTAGGTTTCACGTAAAAATTTTTCTTATTATTATTATTATTATTTTTTATCACAATCTCTTCCTTATCGACGGGATTTGATAATTCATCAATGTCGGAGTCAGTCTTCCATAACGGTGATGATTTACATTTTATTTTTTTATCACGCGTTTGATTTATAATATTATTATTATTATTATTGGATTCAATTTTTCGATATATACGAACTACCTTTGGTTTGATTTTTTTGGTTGAATGACTAGAGTTTAAAAGACCCTGAAAATTTAATTCCGATTTATTTTTTTTCACTAATATTGTTTTAAATGATAATAATAATTCGTCTTGTTCGGCTAATTCTCGTTCCAATAAATTTTTTCCCCTTTCACTATTACTATTATTATTATCATTGATATTTTCCTGTAATTTATTTTCTTCTTTATTATTATTATTATAATTTACTGGAATGTCATCATCAACGGAAACAATTTTATAATAAGACACAAAATTATTATTTTCATTTATGTTCAATTCGCGACAAGGTCCTCCTCCTGGAAAAAATGGTTTTTGAAATTCCGATGGTGAGGATTTCGGAGTGAAAAACGTTTCAGAATCGGGCGAAATTAAATTTTCAATTTTTCCAAATGATGAATAATTATTTTTCGTTTTGTATAAATGATTTATGATATTTTCTTCTGCTTTACAAGTGTGAACGTTTGAATATATATTTCTGAAAAAATCAATTAAGAAAATTTAAGGAGGTTTTTTTTTTTTTTTTGCATTAACAATCGATCGAGTAATAATCAATCAGTCAATCAATCAATCAATCACTCACCGAATAAATGATTCAACATGTGTGAATGATGCATTGCATAAGTTAAATATTGATATTCCATTTTCAATTAAAACATCAAATTCGGCATAAATAAATTTGTAAAATTTATAAGCTCTCGTTTTGAGAATGCAGGAATGTGTTGATACAAAGGAAGTACTGTTAACTGTTAGCTTAATATCACAATAAATAGAATTTTGAAATAATCTGAAAATATAGTAAAATAAATTGTTAAAATTTTATTAAAAAATGCACTCTAATTATTATTATCATCATTTTTTTTCACAAAACAATTTATTAATATAAATAATATTAATGGTTTTATAAAAGTAATCGAATTTTCTAAAGGATTGTCACATTCATTCGTAACGAAAAGCTTTGATTAGGTTTGCAGTTAATAATATTAACAAAAAGCTATTAAAAATAAATTGTTTTAATTGTTAAAAAGTTAATATGAAAAAATCATGTTGGTAATGAGATAAATATTTGAAAAATGTTATTTATTATAAAAGCATAATTGAATGTGTGAACGAATAAAATTACAAAAGTAATAAAATACTCGAGAGAGAGAGAAATAGCTTCAGGTAGACAAAAAAAAAAAAAAAAAATTAAATTAAATCAAAGTCTTACCATAATATGATAAATTAAATAAATAAATTTGATAAAACAAGTCTGAAAACAAAAAAAAATAAAAACTAAAATCAAAATCATCTACATCACAATCGTGTGGAATTTTACCGGGAAAAAAATCAAATGAAAATGTATGTAAAGAACAAACAGGGGGGAAAAAGAAAAAAAGTAAATAAAAAACTTTCACCCTAAAGCACATTTTAAAATAATAATGATGATGATGATGATGATGATGATGATAACAGTAATGATGGAAAAAAAGATTTCAATACCAAAGTGCTTCTTCCTTTTCTTATAACTATATAATTTTTAACTTTATACAAGTATATATTACCTTAATAAATCTTTTTCCAATTCTTGTTGTAATTTATCGACTAATTTACTCTGTGTTTCTTTATTACCTCTTTTTACATGAAAATTGTTTTTTTTAGTAAATGTTTTACTGGCCATCGAGCATCTCCATTTGTTCACTATCAAATAATTGACATTTTTTTTTGATTAAAAAAAAAAAAAAAAAAAAAAAAAAAAATTTCATTTTATATTTTTTATATTATATTATAAATCAACTATATTTCTTAAGACAACTTATTATTTATTTATTCAAATATGGTTTTGATTGAGTTTAACCACTCAAATCCACCTACTCTACGTTATTAAAATATCCATCATGCCTTTAAAGGCAAGGTCATACATATTATTATTATTATTATTATTAATATATCTTAGTAATCCATCAAAAAAAAAAAAGAAAAAAATTCTTAAGCAAATAAGGAATGTTACTCTTTTTATTAATACTTAAATATATGTCTACCATAAGCTCGAATAAAATGAAGTAGTTAAAAGTATATAATAATAAATGTATTAATTTTAATCAACGCAAAATAATATTATCAATTAAATTTTTGTTTAATAATTAAAAGCATTTTAAAAGCCATAATCAAAAAGAAAATTCGATGCAAAAAAAAAAAAAAAAAATTAGAAAGCGTTAAATATATAAATTTATCGCGATAACTTTTTTTTTTTTTAATGGAAAAATTCAAATTAATCTCACAACAGGTTTAATTAATAATACCTGAAAGCGTTTAATTGAAGACAGTTTAACAACGATATTTGTTTTTTATTTCCCATGTAATAATATTAAAAAAAAAAAGGTTTAAACTTAAATAATAAAAACGGTATTCTTAATAATTTACAAAAAAAAAAAAAAAAAAAATTGTTATAAAAACCTTAAATAATTATTCGATTTCTTTGCTACCAACGTAAATAACCACTTATCTGTAACCTTTTTACCACTACTATATGATAGACTTGGCATCAATACTGCCAACCGAATTAATCAAAATTATACACCATAGACAACTTAGTAGACGAGTTACGTATGAGTAATTACAATTAACAAAAGAAGCTTTTTTTTTTAATTATAATTGTTTAAAAAAAAATATATATATATATATATATATATAAATCAAAATGAAAGTTTTAAATTTTTTTATATATATTTTTTCTTATCGGGATAATCATTTAATGTTTAATTATTAAAAATAGAGGTATAGTATGATTAAGATATTACAACATCAATATCAACAACTGAAAAAAAAAAATAGCAAAAGTTTTACAAAAAAAATTTATTTATTTATTTATTTATTTATTCTAAGAGTGACAAGTTATTTTTTAATTTTAACCATATTTTAATTTTTTATTATTATTATTTAAATTAATATATATTTAAAATTTCATCGGTAGTTTTTTTTTTTTTTTTTATTATTTAAATTGAATTATGAAATATGTATATAAAAACCTGTTTATTCTAAGCTGTGACATTGAATTTTTTTTTTATTTTAAAAAAATTATTATTTAAATGAATTAGACATTTTATTGACTTTTTTATTACTTTTCAACCTAATTTCAAAATGTGATTTTTTTTTACTTTATTAACTTATGGATTTTAATTAAAAAAGAAAAAAAAAACAACAGAAAAAAGATAGATTTTTAAAATGTGACTTAAATATTTTATAAATTTTGCTTTAGGCACTTTAAAAAAAAATCATCAATATGTAATATTATTATTTTTTTTTTCATTTACAGTGTTAAATGTTAATGTAAACTGCAATGTATTAAAAAAAAAAATAAAAAAATTTCATATAATGAAGATGTCAGACATTGATTCAGAAAATGGAAGCAATCAAGATGATGACATATGCAGAGATTACATGAGAAATGTTTGCTCAAGAGGAAGAAAATGTAGATTTAAACATCCCAATAAAACACAATTACATTTTGTCGGAGATATTGATAGTACAAAAGAAGAAAGGGGAAAATTAGTTAGAATGTTTTGCCATGATTTTCAGGTATTTTCAATTTACATTTTCATATCAAGTTATATTAAATATTGGAATTAAATTTTGTGTTGCATTAATTTTTTTCTATTTAGAACACAGTTTGCACTAGGGAAGAATGTAAATATATTCATTCATCGAAAGAGGATGAAGATAGTTTTGTAGAAACTGGTTCATTGCCTTTATATGTGTTAGAAGATGCTATATCTAAATCTGTCATACCTTCACTTCCTGGTGAAGCTCCCGTATGTAAGGATTATTTAAGCGGAGAATGCAGAAGAGGAAAGGCATGCAGGTATGTAATTGATAAAACTCGAAAATTCCTTTGAAATTTATTTCGATAACTGCAATGATAAATTGCACCATCTATTTTTGATTTGCATAATTTTTTTTAATTAGGTACAGGCATTTGTCGTTAAGTAAATATAGAAAAGAATTAGATTTTATTTTTGGAGTTGAAATTCAAGCTTTAGAAAATTTACAAGATGTTAGCAATTGTGAATTTGGATCAGAGAATAAAAGATTAAAGACTTCTGTCAGTTCTTGTCTTCCTTGTAGTGGGGATATGACATATTTACCCATGCAGGTATTTAATGTTATTCCACATTATCATGACATTGTCGATTTCAACATGCAGCTAAAATTATAAAAATCTTTCAGCGTTATTTCCCTCATGAAAAATGTAAAGTCCACGGAAGCAATTACTATTACAATTCAGATCGGTGCTCACAAAATCATTTTAATGGTGCCTGCCAAATGGCGCAAGAATCTCAAATAGTACTTTGTAGTCAAAAAGAAAGAGCCATGTCTTTGCAGGATGAAAATAGTTTTTTGAAAAAAAGAATAATTGATTTAAAAAAACAAGTGTCGGATTTAACTGCGGCCAATGAATTTTTATTAGACCAAAACGCTCATTTACGAATCGGTAGGAAAAATGGAAGCGTGGGAGCTGTGACTCCAGTGAGTGTAACCGTAACAGGAACACCGGTGAGCGTTCAACCTATTTCTCAATTACCCGCAGCTCCTGCTCCTGGTCAAATCGTTGCGGGCACTCCTGTAAATGTGCAGCTGTCGGGACAAACAAGTACGGGACAATTAGTAACCATGGCAAGTCAAAATGCATCTACACAGCAACTGGTTACAGCTACGGTTCCAGTTTCGATTGCTCCCGGTAAATATTTTTACCTTTGTTTGGTAAGCTTATTCAATTTAAGTATATTACACAGAGAAAATATTTCAGGATCGTTAGCGGGTGGAGTCAATCCCAATGGGCAACAAATAGTAAGTGCTCCTGGTCAGCAAATTATATCAACGGGGGCGTTGAGTACAGTTACAGTATCTGGGCAAACAAGTGCTGGTCAATTAGTTACCGCGGCTGTACCTGTATCTTGTAATGCCACCGGTCAACAAATAATGGCAGCAGTGAGTACCGTAACGGTCGCCGGACAAAATGGCACCGGTCAACAACTCGTCACGGCGACAGTTCCGGTTTCGTGCACCGCCACTGGTCAGCAGCAGTTGGTTCCAACAGCCGTATCCATGTCTCACACAGGTCAACAGTTGGTTCCAACGGGAACAACCGCTGGACCTCAACAACTGGTTCCCGTGTCCGGCACATTATCCGTCGGACCTAATTCGGCTCAACAACTCGTACCTGTTTCTTTAGCGACTGCAGTACCTGTAACTATTTCAGCCGTGTCGATGGCTCCGGTGCATGTTCCGCCGCCGATAGTTACGGTTGCTCAGCCTCCGAACAATCCGTCGAACAATATAACCATGAATGGGCCACCGGGTCAATCATTAATGTCATACCCGATTATGACACAGCCTGTGATCCAAACAAATATACAACGTTAAAAATAAAAATTATTAATTTGCTTTGAATATATTTTAATTTATTGTTTTTTGAGCAGCCAATAATTGAGAGGAAGAAGATACTTATCATTTCAAATTTGAAACGGTTAACAGTTATTTTCAAATTTGGAAGAATGTAATTTGATAAGACTGAATAATAATAATAATAATAATAATAATAATAATAATAATGCTTGAATGGAAACAAAAAATATTTTGGTAGCTCATCAAGTGTTTTAGACAATTTTTAATTAATAATAATAATAACATCGACTATTATTAGTGAAAATTACAGTGAAAATGTATATTGGGTATGAATTAATTTCGAATAACTCAAAGTTAAAATAAAAATGGTATATTTTCTGTGTAATTTTGAGTGTGTTAGTTTTTGTTTTTATTTAAAACTTATTTTTAAAAAGTATTTTAGAATGTTTAAGGTCTAATAAAATTAGTTAATGCCATGAAAATATTTCCTTTTTTTTTTTAAAATTACATTACTGGCATTAGGATTATTATCAAACAGGTTGTACCATTCGTCATCCCAGGTTCATGGTTATTAGAATAAAAAAAAAATAATCAAAATATTTTTTTCAAATCATTAATAATTTATTAATAATTGTTTTTAATAAGAGTAACAACAATGAACATTAAATTTCTTTATTTTCATTTTGTGTTGTCACACCCATATTGTCATCATCTATTATTATTACACCGCCCTCTGTATCCTCTTCAGATTTTTTAAATTTATTTATTTCTAAAAAAAAAAAAAAAAAAAAAATTTATGTACATAAATGAATAGATTTTAAAGAATTTTTACAGTTTTTTTGAAGAAAAATATTCAATACCAAATTTCGACGTGTCTCCTCCCAATAACCTGAGATAGTGAATGCAATCGCTTAATGGAATATAAACTCTTGTCGTCACGGCGCCAACCCATCCGGCTAATTCCACGTGCAAGGATTTATCCGTTACGGGTTCTTCATCGTACACAAACACGCAACTACCCGCACCTGGAACAACCCATGTTTAAGGTAAGTTTTTTTTTCAACTTTAAATAATTCTTTTCCAAGTTTTAAAATAATAATAATAATATTAATACCTATTTGATTTAATGATTTTTGCGTTGTAGGATTTAATTTAGCCGTTTCCGGTGGATTTTTCGGATCGTTATTTTCAAGCAACAAAAGTAAATCATTTTTCGTCAACGAAATTTTTCTTTTAGGACCGATAAATTGAAATATGCTCCAAAGTCCCTGTAATAGTAGAAGAAGAAAAATTAATAATGATGGATTTGACTTAAAAGGTATTAAAATGTTAAAATTTTACCTCTTGAGCTAATCTGAAAGAACATTTCATTCCTTTTGTGTCGCATCTTGCAAATGTTTTCACTCCCGTATTTATTATTTTAAATCTTTCTGCGTTGTTAATAACTATATCTCTTACTTCCGGTGACGTTAAATATATGTTTTTTTTTTTACCTTCTTTACATCTCGTTAACAAACATTGAGCTGGGAGCTCGTTCGTTATGTCGTAAAACTCTCTGAAAATCAAATGAATCATCAACAAACACGATCAATAAATAATCGAATTTTTATTGTAATTTTTATTTACTTAATGTCGTGCCAAACAGGTTCGTTCTCATCAAAGAAAATAAAAGGATCTTCACGATAACCGAAAATTTTTCTCTTTTTTCTACTAGGTTCTTTAACTTTTTGATTTGAATTGTTCTTTTCTTCGTTACCATCATTCATTTTAGAACTTTCCCAAGGTAATGTTTTGACTTTTTCCAACGCTGCGACGAAAAAACCTCCCGTATCTTGATGATGAGGAAGAATTCTCACGCTTTAAAAGAAAAAATGATGATGGAGGTAAGTGAATTCCTTTTAAGGAAATTTAATAACATTTTTTAAATGTATTTTTATGCGTTTACAAACTTCAACTAACCAAAGATCTAAATTTAATTGATCGACAATGTCTTGAGGTGGTGGAAACATTTGTGGTCTCACAACTGTGTGCCATTGCTTAGGCACTTCATCAAATGTTTTATACCCTTTAACATCTTTAGACGTTACCAACCATGATTTTAAACCTTTTAAATACTTTAAACCAGGAAGAAGGGGTGCCAAATTAACAAGTTTAAGTGATCCTTGTGCTTCTGTCAATAACCTAGCAATAACAGCTTCATTTTCAACAGGATTTAATGAACATGTAGAATATACTAATCTTCCACCAATTGTAAGCATTTCAACACCTCTTTTAATAATTCTAAATTGAACTCTGAAAAACAAAACAACTTCTTACTAAAAAAACAATAACATTCGAGTAAAATGATTAACCTAAAAAAATAAAAATAAAAAATTAGCCAACCCATGTAAATTATTTCCATTAGCAGTGTTCCATTTTGTCCAAATATCTGCATTTTTTCTTAAAGTTCCATCTCCGGTACAAGGCACATCACATAAAATTCTGTCAAATTTTAAAATGTTTTCTCCCCCGTCTAAAACAACCAAAGAAATAATTTATTTAACAATTGATTCTGATGCAAAGTGTCATTTTACCATTCATTTACCATTATTTTTAATAATAAAATTAGGCATGATAGAAGCATCATGATTGGTAATAATTATATTTGGACTACTAAGTCTTTTGGCTTGATGAACTAACATGTAACACCTATTATTATCAATATCATTGGCTATAACAAAACCCTTAGGAAGCCTTTCATCATTTTTATGTAAATATTCAATTAACTGAGCTGTTTTCGAACCAGGAGATGCACACATATCTAAAATCTAAATAATACTTCTAAGAAATAAACTTGTTTAAAAATAAAAATACAAAAAAAAATCATTAACCCTTTAACAGCAAACAAAGTGTTTTTTTTTTTGTTGAAAAATTTACCTTATGATGAGACTTAACATCTAGAGCTATCGGTGGAATCATACTAACAACTTCTTGTCTATTAATATTGCCACTGTCTGTTTCAGATATTAAAAAATTATGAAGTTTAAAAAATGCTTCACATCTTCTGATATCTTTACGAGAAAGTTGTAATTGCCATGCAAGATTATCAGGATACCTACATTTAGTAAAACGACATTTTATAACATTCGAAAACAAATGCAAGCAATATTAATAAATAACCTAAGTATACCATGGCAAAGCAAAAGGTTCTTTAATGCTTTCATCTTGTTTAGCATTGAGAAAATCTTTAAAATATTGTCCTTGAACGATTTGCAAAAGGGTTTTTGCTTCTGTTTTAGAACCTGTTATTCTAAAAGCAGTTGGCAAATCCTCTTTGAGAGCTTTTATAAAATTATCCCATTCTTCTTCAGGACATATTTTTTGTAACTGCAACATAATAATGCAATAATCTTTCAATGCCATAATAAGTAAATAAAAACATTTTTGTAAGTGGGTAATGTTTAACATTTCATCACCTTATAGTAACTTTCAAAATCTTTATTTTCTCTAACAATATCTTCGTAAGATTTTCTAGAATTTTCCTATAAAAAAAATAAATTCCAATAATACTCTCAATACAAAGTTGTTTACTTAATTAAAAAAATAATTAAAATCATACATTTTTACTTCTTTCTCTTTTAACTTTACGTTTTATTTTATTCTTCCTCATTTTACTAAATATCACGAAATCGTGAGAACAACGTGACAATATTATTAATAAAAAAATAATAATAAGTTTTAAAATTTGTGTGTTCTAGAACCACGTTTAAGCAGCCATATTGTAACGAATAAAATTTAGTGTAAAACCTGATTCGCGGTAAAAGTTTTATTTTTTTATTTTTAACACGGTAATATCAGTTTAATTATTCTAAATATGTTAAAAAAATAATATTTAAAAGTGAATTTATAAAAAAAAGTAATAATTGTGTAATTATTTCTGTGTGAATATTCATTATTAAGGATAATAAAATTTTGAAAAGTTTTCGTTATATTTCTTGCATTTGAAATAAAATCAAAATGGCCGATTCGACTATTACATCAAAGGAGAAAAAATTCAGGTAAGATTATTAAAAAAATTTATTTATTAATTTATATATCGATAATTTTATATATGAGTATTAGATTTTTAAAAAAAAAAAAAATTTTTTTATAAAGTTTTTGATTTTATAAATAAGAAAAGGTAAAAGTGGGGGAGGAGGGGAGGGGAAAAAAGTCATCGACTAATAAACGTCGACGCGTACATTGTCTAATTTTGAACAATTTAAAGCAGCCTTTTTGGGGGGTTTCTTAACGGGTGTTTTGCGCGCGCGCGCTTTCGCGTTTTACTTCGACCGGGCTGCGGCCGAGGTGCAGTCAGTTTCCGCGGAG